CGTAAAAAGAAGTCTGAAGAGGCAACTTTCATACAGGATGTTAAAGATCACATTGATGAGTTTATTAACGCGTCAATGGATGAACACAAAACTTGCTTCCAGAAGACTATCCGGAAGGTTAATTACCAATTCATGAACTTTAGTTGCCTTCCATTTTTGTACTTTGTGATCGCCTGGTGTTCTTTTTTGTCTGAATCACTTTTTAATGAGAAAAGTAGTGCACGAGTTAGCCTTTTGACTGAAATAGTTGAAATAAAAAATATAACGTTTCTACCTTCATTTCTTAATTTTTTTCTATAATTTATCCAACAAAACTCTTTTAAATAGTTACAACTCAGCCGACTTACCCAATTAGACCATTTTAGTTCTTCGAAAGCAGACTCTTAGATACAATGCTAATGATGCCTTGCAGATGTTTGGAATGTCAAAAGTAGTTGCAGAAAGGAATTCCAAAGTAGGGGATGTCGAAAGCTCTCTTTCACTCCGAACCGTGGTGTCAGAGTAGAACGGTGTGTATATTTCCTTTTCATTTGGGAGAAAGAAATGTGTCGATTTATTCAGAGGCATGGAGACAAAATATAGTAGTTCATACTAAAGATGTAATTAATCATGGATTTGGTTTTGATGTGTTTTAAAATGTTGGAGTCGTTTGAACTAGTCTGAATCAACCATGAGACGAGTAAAACTTCCAATCATCTTTATCCTATTTTGGGTGCCAAACTTCCAACCTTGATTTGACTACAGCTAGCTTATTCTCACATGGAGCTGGGCCCTTCACACTTAGCTCAATGCAGTTACCTCATAACAAAACTTACTCACTCGTTCTTTGATTAAAAAGCAAACCGCAATCAAAGATTTTCTTGCAGAAGTTCTGTTGTTCTCAAAATAACTTGTTAAGAATATTCTTAGCAACCTCCTCGTTTAGCCCATTCTTGAGTTCGGTATAGCATTAGACTGACTGACCGGGCTGGTTCTGGACCAACCAATTCTAGGAAAGGTGAAATTGGAACTCGTTTGGACTGATTCTGAATCGATAAAACAGGAGTCGGTTTGATTCCTCTACACGACCAGTTCTTGGACTAGAACCACGCCCGCTCATAGTTCTGAACAGTTTGTAGTTAAGTATCACACAATTTGTTACCACATTATCAATTCACAAGAGCTTTCAAATAAACCAAATCAGTTCACTTTATCAGCTTCAGGCCTCCAGCATTACGACCTTGAAAAGGTGTGGCTTGACATGTATTTATTTCAACTTTGAGGCTTTTGAGCCGTCTGATCTGTTTCAAATTGCAAAATGGCTTCGCGGGTCAATTTATTGATTGTTTCTTGTGGTGCCATCTGATCTTCAAGTCACACGGTTTGTCTACAATTTACGATGTGTTTACTTGTGAGGAGAATTATACACAACACAGGTTAATAAGCCCTGCAACAACCGTTTTATTATTAACCATCTTCGGAGGGAACAGTCGGTGCATTGCCACACGCTGCATTCAACTTTCAAGATTCCAGCTCTATTGAGGCTAAAGTCAGAGTGCAATACTGTAATCCACTCAACTTGTCAGATTATCATCAAGCAGTAAACACAAAGCAAGGGCTTTCCCTGAGGAAAATGTTAGGGGTACACAAGTTGTACACAACTTGTACACACAATGTCGGTCACAGACAATTGGTACGGAGTTGTCTGTAACCACAGACAAGAGTTGTCTGTGTACACAGACAAATTTTGTTTGTTTCCACAGACAAATTTTGTCTGTTTCCACAGACATTTACTTTTTTGTAAAAAGTACACTGAGAGCCGCCTGACACTGACAAGTACTTTTTACAAAAAAGTAAATGTCTGTGGAAACAGACAAAATTTGTCTGTGTACACAGACAACTATTGTCTGTGGTCACAGACAACTCCGTACCAATTGTCTGTGACCAACATTGTGTGTACAAGCTGTGTACAACTTATGTACCCCTAGCATTTTCCTTTCCGTAAAGGCAAAAGTAGCAAATAAGCCATCGAACTAATCAAAAAAGCGCAATCACCCCTTATTTAGGAGACTCTGTCCAACCGTCGCCATTTGAGGCGGTTCTTGGTGAAAATTTTTGATGGATTTTTTGAGAATCTTCTTCATTAAGTCTAGTTTATCCATACCAAATTTCAGCTAAAAATTCAATCGAGAAGACAGTCAAATGAACTTTGGAAAATAACTGTGCAGTTAAACAGCGCAGTATATTCCAGAAAATTATTTGACTGTCTTCCCGGTTTAATTTTAGTTGAAATTTGGTATGGGTAAACTAGACTTAATGAAGAACATGCTAAAAAATTGCATCAAAAAGTTCCGCCGGGAACTGTCCCAAATGTCAACGGTCGGACAGAGCCTCCTATATAAGGGGTGATTTGCCCTTTTTTGGTTAGTTCGAGGGCTTATTTGGTGCTATTTTTTCCTTCCATAAAAACAAGGCCTTTCCATGATATTGTCATTACGCTCTATCAAATTCTTAGTGACTTGAACCTAAGACCTTCTACTAAGGATATAATCAGTTTCTTAAGAACAACCCCGGTATGTAACCACCAGTCCGGGGGATCAGTCCCAAGTCTGGCCGTCGGGCCCAGTCCTCCATTCCCTTTTAATTGCAACAGTAAACATTTCACGTTTGTAACCACAAGTTTCACCATTAATACCTTTCATTCCTTGTTAGTAAAAAATTTAAAAAATTCATATTTTGGAAAATTAGAATGAGAAAATTTTAATAATATTTTTAAAAAATTGATTTATAATACATTAGTTAATAAAATATAGTTAAAGTAGAATACATAAATAGTGCAAAAAGTCCAATGTTGCAATTAAAAGAGAACGGATGTAGTATAAAAGTAGAATGCTATCAATTTATTAAAATATTTCCAGACTTATGCGTAACTTATTAAAATATTTTCACATATGCGTAAATTATTAAGCATTTGTATCCATATTATTGAGCGACCAATTTGTTATATCAGAAAATTCCCGGAGTACTAGTTGATTAAAGTATTAAAATAAAATAGGAATAGATATCTAATTAAATTTATTGAATTGTAACCAACTTTAACAAATATCAAAATTTTAACTAAGTTTCACGTAAGTTGTTTGTCTCTCACTCTCTCTGTTATGAATCATTCATTTAAACAGAGAGAACTTTAATAAAACGTAGCAATTCAGATGTATCTTGGTATAACTGCTTCTCCAGTTCTCCTCCTTCAGGGAGCAGAAGTAGAAATTGGAGTGTTTGAGTGAAAGTGCAAATATGATTCTGGTGCTCTAATTTACTCCTAGAATCAGTTTTTTAGAAGCTGGGAGAGCTCATCTTCTGAAAACTGATTCTGATTCTGCTTCTGCTTTAAAAAAGAAGCAGAATCAGTTCCAAACACCCCCTAAAACTTCATGGACTTACAACAACAACATCCAAGCCCAAGGATGTTTTCGTTTGGACTGTTTTCAGTCCCAGACCAGACCAGATCAGACCAGACTAGACCAGACCAGACTAGACTTCCGTAGTTACAAAATACACAGAGACCAGACTTTTACCATACCAGACCAGATCAGACCAGCAAATTTTAGTCCAAATGAAAACATCCTTAGTCCCAAACGATATTAGGTCGGCTAACATGAATCGATACATGATATCATCACCAAAAGGAAAAGAAAGAAAATAAAGATAAAAAGATAAGTTATTATAAAAAAGATATACGGAGTATATAAGGATAAAAGGATATAAAAACGGAAAAGATAATATGAGATCAATCCTCCACACGAATACCCGCCTCCACTTTGCTCTCTCCAAAACCATACCTTCATCTAACCCAAGAAGAACCATATCACTACGGAGTACATTGTACAAATATGTTGTTTTAATAAATATTGAGTAGGGGTGGACCCGGGCTGGGCCGGTTCCGGTTCGGGCCTGGGCCCGGCCGGGCTTTTATTTGAGAATGGGTGAACCGGAACTGGCCCGGGTGGCCGGCGGGTTCCGGGTCGGGCCGAGCCTCGGGCCACTTCCTATTTTTTTATTACTTTTCTAATTAATCCCCGACCCCCCACCCCGACCCCCCCAAACCACCCTAAATGGCCCAAAACTTCCAGCCCAACCCAGGAAAAAAAATTGAAAAAAAGGCCCAGAACCGGGCCCGGCCCGGCCCGGTCAGTTTGTCTATTGGGTGACCCGAGCCCGCACCGTAAAACCACCAAGCCGGGCCTACCCGGACCGGTCCCTGGCTGGGCCATCGGTTCGGGCCGGTTCCAAACAGTGCCGGTTCGAGCCGGTTGCGGGTCGGGCCACCCGGGCCGAGTCCATGCCTAATATTGAGTAAATCCAAGTGAATGTTGAAAGAGTATTGCTCAATGGGGGGCTACGCTGGGTGAGCACGTTTTAAATAACTCATACTCGTAAAAAGAATTTCCTACTTGGTATCTCAGAGGTTATACAAATCTAGGCTGTTTGAGGGGTTTTGCCGTTTGTAGAGAAAAGGTATTCCTTCTTTGACTTGATGGTTATTATCATAAATTGCTAGTTTGCGACCACAAAATAGACCCAAGATTATACTTAGAATCTAGTTCACCCTCAACAACAATAAAACATCAAGATGTGTTCAAAACAAAACTCTTTTTGGGGTTAGATTGCTAAGGTGGTTACTATCCAAAACCTTGTATTGCAGATTAGATTACTTATTTATCGTGTTCTGTTTAGAATTTATCCTTCTGATATGATTGACTTCTAGGCTTGGGATTAGATTGTGCTTGGAAAGTTGTTTATTTTGGAGGATTGTATATCATGGCTGAGCAAAGGATAGTTTTGCGGCAGCAGAGAGAGATGGCTGAGCAAAGGAGTGTTTTGCTTCAGGAGAAAGGGGTGTACCCATTTTGCTGTATTTAATCTTTGTCATTTAATATACATTTTCCTTTTATATATAAAAAAAAACTCTTTTTGGGGTGGTAGCGACTCATCAACCAACTAGTGCTCATTGTACTGTGTATGTAATATTGACCATTGACCCAATAATCCAGAAAATAGAAACCTCTAGGAAAGAAGCAATGGATATTACACTGTTTCAAGTAATACAACTTTGACCCAAGACTCAAGAAGGTACTCTGAAATACCATAACTTACAACTAAAGAAAGCAACAGTAAAGTTAAGAAATCAAAACTCAAATTACAAAGTAAAGCCTGTTATTGACATTCAGAAGTATCATTATACCTCAACCGGTTCATCACAGCAATAATTGGCATAAATAAAAATTACTTTCACAATAATTGCGTTTCTGATTCATCCTGGCCCTTGCAAATGAAGCTTGCCACAAATCAAAGCAATCAACCACATTCCTTTACCATAAACCACTTTATCTTCACACTGAACACAATCCATGGAACCCATTTTAAGATTGCTGTTTCACAAGCAATCTAAGTTCCAGCAAAGATAATTTTAATCACAAGAAGCACTCATTGCATCAATACCTTGCATCCATCTGCAAGATTCCTGCTCTCCAAGAAAACTCTGAATGATTCAATGGTTTATGTATTCCATACACTGCTGAAGAAGCCTCAAGCAATATGTAAAGACAAGGGCAAGATCATTGCATATGTATGTGCGTTGTGTTTGTATATGTACACACAGATATATAAAAATAAGAACTTTATTGATATTATAAACGATGCATAACTACTATGTGGAGGGCATCATATCCCCAACACAAGACAACAACAACTCCCAAAATACAACCAACAAGTCAGTTGTACTTGTTATTCCAACATTTACCCAACACTTAAGATAATACGTAGTAATAAGAAAGACCTTAACTTCAACTACCGATAGCTATTGATTTAATTCGAACAATTTACCAAACCAAACAGGAACAATAAATAGTAGCCTTCTTCTGACTCGTAATGTAGAAGTAGAGAGCGAAATTTTCATGGATGGAGACTGAGTGAATTGCAATTCTGATTCGGCCTTCCCCTTGAAAAAATAAGGGAAGTTTTGCCCGAAACCAAAGCAATCACCCAACTTTCATCAACCTGATCCACCTCATCTTCACTGCAAGTGAAGAATGATCTCCATAAACCATCTACAGAAACCATCTTCACAATGAAAATCAACACATGTCTAGCCTCAGAAAGCGCCGTATATTAATGGTAGCATCACTTTTGCTTTGTCCGAGGATGTTTTTGTTGGTGAAGGAAGGCAAAGGAAGAGAACTGGGCGGAGGCGGAGTAGCAACAGATAATCCAGCATAAAAGTCACCGATCTTAATCTCGTTCAGCATCCTCTCAGGCTCGGGTCCAAGCCTGCTAATGGTTGACAGCACAAGCTCTTTCTCCAGACTATCAGCAAAAGGCTCGATCTCAGCCTTCTTCGACTCTACTACTAACGACGCCGTATCAGTCAATGTCTCACCACGTTTCAATATCTTCACCTGGCCCATAATCAAATTACTCATCGCCGCCTTCTTCACCGGCGGAGAATTAGAGAGATTGAGACCCCCGCTGTTACAGGAATCAGTAGATCCGTTCTTCTGAGGGCTGCGCTTCCGCCGATCTGACTTCCCAGTTCCACGGATGGAATTAGGGTTAGGGTTAGAAGAGGGATTCCTCTTGGGCTTCATATGAGCGTTGACAAGACTAGTGTGTCGACGATTCGATCGATTATGCAAAGGATCTTGTGGGTAAAGAACTTCTACGGCAGCCATCGCAATAACTTCTAAACTCGGCTTGAGAAATATGAACAGAGTATCTGGAATTTAGAGAAAGATGATGGTGAATAGGAGAAATGGAGAAATTGCTGGTCGTAGGGTGTAATAGAAACACTTGCGTTTGTCTATACAAAGAGGAAGAACGCAGAGAAGATAGATCTGAAGCGAGGGTTTGGAGGTGTGAAGAAGATGAAGGGGAAAAGGTAGGTTATATAGGAAGCGGAGGCGGTATAAAACGTGGGGAGTGGGTACACGAAATTAGACGCGTGACCAATTCTTTCCGCAGTCTGGACACGGAAACCGAATGACTTGTTTGATAAAAGAATTGAGAAATAAAAGAATTAAGAAAGATTAGGGACTTAGACCCAAACCTTTGGAGTGGTGTGAGAGTCAAAATGTCAAAAATGGACTCCGTCCATATGAAAACAGTGTTTTGACTCCTATTTCTCTGCATTCCAGCACCGTCAATAAAATACATTCTGCACATTTTCTACATATCAATTTAGTAAAATATTAATTAAATTATTATAAGTAGTATTTTTCTTTTTAATTTAATCCCTGAATAATTTTGAAGTAAAAATACACATTTTGATGTAAAAATAAATGAATTTCATTAAATATTTTTTTAACATTTTTCGGTTAACAAAAAAAGAACTTAGTTCAAGTAAAGTTAGATTACGGAAGATTAAGTTATTTGTGAAGGCTGCATGAATTAAAAAATTGTGTTTTGTATTATTTTTGGGCTCATGAAAATGTCAACAGTTAAAATTTCAGATTTTTTTTCATTTTATATATTACATATTGGTGTCATATGAAAGAGTATAAAAAATTATGAATTTTGATATTTTTTTTCTAAATTTAATTTATGAAAAAACAAATTATAACCATTTTAAGAAATATGGGGTTTTATTTTATGGAGCCCACTAACTACCAACCATTCATGATTCCTTTCTTTTTGGCAAAGTAGCACTTCCACAGAGTCAATGGGCTGGCTAAAATTGGACTCCTCCCTCCCTATCTCCATTTTTGGCCTCCTATAATGCTCTCCAATGTAAGAAATTAGGAGTCTAAAATCTCCACTTTTAACATTTTAGACTCCTAATACCTTACCACTACAAATGGTCTTAGGGTAAGTTATTTGGAATGCCTCAAATTTGAGGTTGGGTAAATTTGTAAATGACACTCAAAGTTTTTAAATTTGCAATATACAGGGGCGAATCCAGGGCATTGGGCCGGACTAGACCAATACAAAGAATATTTTTTAAAAAAATTTTATCCGAAATTTTTTACACTAAAAATAAATACATTTTTAAATTTAGACTGGGTTGGCGCTCCCCTATCTCCGCCCCTGACAATATATGTACACAAAATGTATACATTTTGTAGTTTTGACATTCTTTACAAAAATCTCTATTTTTTATCCACACTCCTCTCTACAAAAATAAATAATGCAATTGGTACACCTTTTTTGTACACACTTTGAGCACATTATTATTATAAATGTTTTATATTTTTATTGTTTAATTTTACATTTTACTTCATTCTTCCTCGCCGTATTCTCTCCCTCCACTGTATCTTCGTCTTCTTTTTTCCTTGGCTAAAGAATCAAATAGGTCCATGTACTTGTCGTGTTGGCTCAATTCAATTCATAAACTAAAAAAGGTCCAATTTGCACTGTGACACGGGAAAAAATGTTCAAATTTCAATTTTTACGAGTCAATGTTGAACTTTTTAAAATTGTTCAGGGTCCAAATTGGGCATTTTTAAGTTCAGGGACTACATTGAGCGAACTTGATAGACACATGGACCTATTGGGCCTTTTGTTATCTTCATCGTCTATATCTTCCTCACTTTATCCCCATATTCATCATCTTCACTCCCATCTATCTCTCCATATTCATCACTTCATCGTTTTTATCATTGTCAACTTTTAGGAATGGGAAAAAATGTTCAAGAGACACCGCAAGGTCGCCGGAAAATTAGAGATGAACATTTGTCGGAATTTTTGTTTTTGTGGTTTATAAAACATTGTTTGCGTCGTGCTGAATAATGATAAATTTGCCTGTATTATTTTTTAAAATTACGCAATAGATAAAAAATATCTATATACTGACACTATTTTTTAGAATGTATGTGTCCAAACAAAATTATTAAGCACAGACAAAAAAGTACAAATTGTTTGTGATGCAGACAAGTAAATATCTATGCACATACATTGATTTTTATGCAACCAAATTCCGCATTTCTGTAGCACAACACACAAATCAATGTTCGTACACAGACATTAGATGCCTTTAAACAAATAGTTTGTGTATCTTTTATTTGTGATTAACAATTTTGTCAAGGCAACATACAAAAGACGTATAATTATATGTGTACAAATAACTAATGTTTGTGCACTGACATTGGTGTGCTCATGTGCAAGTTTATTGCAGAAATACCAAATTTAGTTGCATGAAAATAAAAAATTGTGCATAGCCATTATTTGTATGCTCTGTTCCAAAAATCGTTCTAGGGAGACTAGTCCTCACCTAGGCGCTAAGCAATGGACGGGCGCCCCGATTTCGTCTAGGCGCTCCGACTAATCAGTTTTCCGTCTAGGTGAATTAGTCGGCCGCTTATGGCGCCTAGTTGCCATCCTAGAGCGCCTAATCGGCCACCTAGACCGTCTAGATTCACCGAACATTACTTTACTTTTAATTTTAGTTTTCTAAGCGATATACGTACATTAGCTTTAGTCATGGATATAAATAAATGAAGTTGTAAATTAAGATAAAACTATATATGTTTATAGGGTAAGGTTCAAGTGAGAAGAACCCTTTGGGTGAGAAATGAGAATGAATCTCAGCCATTGGATTCGACTAAGTTGCAGTAAAAGACACTTCATGATGCACTGAAATATGCAATCTAGCACGGTGGCATTTCTGTAAATACTTCTGAAAAATCCGTATTGCACATGTCTAGTGCAACATGAAGTTATTTCGGTGCAACGCCGTCAAATATTAGTGCAACATGAAACAGTTTTAGTGCAACAAGTGCAAAATTTAAATATTACTGCTACATAAAACCAATTTTAGTGCAACTTCGTAAATCCAATGGCTGAGATTCATTCTCATTTCTCACATTAGATGCATTTCTCACCTGAACCAAAATCTATGTTTATATATATACCTAAATTTCATCACCTGAACCAGGATGGAGTGTGCATTTCTCACCTGAACCAGGATGGAGTGTGCATAGGAACGGTGATGAAAAAAATGATGAAGCAGTGACGGAGAAGAGTGGCAGTTGGTCAATGGAGAGGAGAATTTTTGGATTTTTTTTAATTATAAAAACTGTGTCGTATTGGGATCGGTATACCTTGCGCGTGGTATAATGGTCTCACAGTATAATTTGTTGAGAATCTCATTGTGATGAATGTGTTCGACGCGCTGAAGTGGTGGGTCCTATTTTCTTTAGACAAGCTAATCAAAATTTGAAGAAAAGTAAATGCTCTTTCCACGTTGGCCAATGGCGTGTTCAAGGAGATGACACATTTTCAATTATGTTTTGCCCTTTATATGTAGTATAATTTATCCCTATTTTTTTTAATTTCTATACGTCGGTTTTTGGTTATATTTTAATTTTTGCTACGCTTTTTTATTATATACTCGTACATTTTACATTTAAAATATTCAATTATCCTTACTTTTTATACGTTTTCATTTAATGTTTCATATATTTTTTTTAATATGTCTCATATTGTCTAAACTACCGACTATTCTACTTTTCCCACTTATAAATAGTTAAATGTTATGCCAAATCGATTGTAATAGTCTATAGAATATGGAGAGAGAGAGAGTATTCAATTACTTTTACACATTCGCCTACCTTTAAGAAAACCTTGCTCATTTTTTTCCAATAAAGTTCCTTATAATTTCATCTTTCAATAAAAACTTGTTAAGGTCAACGAGAGTTAGGTACGAAAAAAGTGTAGATTGAACATTATACCATTAGGTGCATAATTGTACACTACACTTTACACTTTAAACTATCCAATAGTTATCACACGTTTCTATATTACTCCGTTAAATTATAAAGTAAAAACATATCTTTCGACGAGTTAGTTATTCATGAAACTGGACGAGTAGCTGCACGAGGATTTTTCCGCGATGTTGATGGTCATTTCTTGATGGCTTATAGCATGAACCTGGGTATATGCTCCATCACCGGGATTGAATTGAGAGCTACTGTAACAAGGTTGTAGTTATCTTGGTAGAACACGTATATGGAAGGTATGACTACAGCTGGATTCACGAGCTGCAATCCAGCTATTGTTGGGGATTGGTGAGATCGCACACCAGCACTCTTCTAAGGTTACTGATTTCCGTGAGGTATTGGATCGGAATTGAATGATTAAGATTGAGCACATTTATCGAGAAGGCAATCGGACTGCTGACTATTTAGCTGGCCTTGGACATAGTTTATCACTTGGTGTGCATTATATTTCTAGAAGTGATCCTACTTTATCATTTCATTTATTGTATGATTTTTTTTGGTTTTCCAAACTCGTTTGATTATGAATGAAATATAGGCGCTATTGTGCACAAGTTTACAAAAGAAACATCTTTCCACCCTTACTTGTCACCGCGTAGCTCCATTTACGCGCAACATTCATTTAATATTTAAATCATCATTAATTGTCACCTTTTTAAGGCAGTGTTTGCGTAAGCTTAAAAAAACACTTTTAAGCTTTTGACTTAAAAAAATTAAAATCAGTGTTTTCTAACACCAACTTCTACTTTAAAAAAACACTTTAAAGCCAAAAGCTGGAAGTTGGTATATGGTAGCTTCTAACTGCTTCTTGGTATTTTGGTAAATAAATGGAAGTTTGAGGATGGTTATAATGGTTAACATGAGGAGCTAAACTCCAATATACCCTTCTGCCGTACATCACCTGTGCCATTGTCGATTCTCCCTCTTTGCATACGGAACAATGAAACAAGCCAAGCAGTAGCCTGAGATGCTAATAACTATGCAAGCGATTTACACCAGAGAACCAAAAGATTGGAAGATGCACATTCGTCTTTCCCAGTTGTTCTCCATGTTAGGAAACCAACATGTTTTATACATTTATTGATTGTTTTTAGGTTTTGGTTGGTTTCTTTCCGCAATTGATTCTCTTTTATTTGTGCCTAACTACTAGGGGTGGGATCGGTCCGGGCTGGGTCGAGTTTTTGCTCTACCCGGAAATTACCCGAAACTT